AGCATAGCATCGGACACACCATCCCACCCAGCCATCTCGGCTCACGCATTCACTTCATTCCTGCTCCTAAACTCCTAGAGTCCTAGAGTCCTAAACTAAACTTCCCAAACATCGCACCTGCTTCACTCCTGGCTTCGGCAATCGGCTAGCTGCTAGCTGCTATCTACTGAAATCTATCTACTGTAAGTGTATGCCGTTGTGTGCATGCCAACCAGGCAGAAGGGTGTCATGATGTTGCATCAAAATGTCTGGTCCACTGAGCTTGGAATATCGCAGAACCGCAACAGCACTTGTCTGCAACTGGTCTGCAACAGCCACATCGCACAGTTTCAGACACAACAACGGACAGCACATGATAACATGGACATGGGCACATCGAGACGGTCCTGGGGCGACTCATGTCAGTCCACGAAGAGTAGTCCAGCTTGCACACGACAGACCAGTAGCCCCCACCAGGAAGTCGACCAAGGGCGCCACGTCGGTGGATTTCTGACAGAAACCTGTCCCAAGGAAAACTGCTGGGAGCTGCAATGACTCTGATGATTCTCACTCCGATGTTTCCTGCCTAAGACTAAGATTCGAAGTCCTGCGCTATTGGCCCTACCTGACATCCACGCACACGAGACGGCACAAACACTCGCCTATGTCTATGCTGCTACCAAAGCTACCAATTGGATTCATAGAGCCTGCACGCTACATTACATTCGGCTGAAAACTAACAGCAGCAGCAGCAGCAGCTGGCAGCTAGCAGCTAGCAGCTCAGCAGTCAGCAGCTAACAGCTAACAGTTTGTGTCACTAACTTCAATTCAGTTGCGCATGCCTCGCCTCTGCATTGGGCTGCTCTGGTCTGTCGCTGACTCTGGCCTGTCAAAGCCCATCACCTGCTCACATATGGCAGCTTCCGGGAAGAACTTCTCCAGGAAATCTGGCGCATCAATGGCTGACACTCCATACAACGAATGGTCGCACACAGAGGCTTTCCGCTTGTTGGAGCGCTGAGCGGAAAACGGAGGGCACGGGGTACCCAGCACACAAAGCTTCGGAGACGTCATGGGTGCACACGACTTTCCCGGATGCAACGTACACGCACTGCAGTCTATCTGGTCGCGGATGGTGCCATGCAAGTGCTCAACGTTATAATTAGCCCTCATGAAGTGCCGAAAGGATGCGTTCGGCTCGGAAGCGCCTTGCAGGATGAACGGAATGCCAAGTGCCTCAGACAGCCCATTGCGTGCCATTGTGCAAGCTGCAGCTACTGCTCCCTGCGAACTGCTGCCTCCACTAGAATTGCATTCCTCTGCGGGCAAGGCGCGTTGAGCACTGCTGCTTCGGAGCACGCTGCGCTGCAAGCAGACAGCAAAGTTACGGGTTCCTGCAGTCGCCCTGTAGAGTGGTACTGGCAATGGTTTCTGGTGATGTTCTTCAACCGCTGAACCCACCAGATGTCAGAGGTCTGCGGGGAGCTTGGAACAACGAAGACAGAGTTGTCGACATTTGGCTGTCCCGCTAGGCTTTCTGACGATGTTGCTGACTTCAACTCCACAGCTTCATCTACGAGCTGGTTCTCGAACTGAGTCTGTGGCAGAATCTGTTCTGACAGCTGTCCCCATCCATGCATGGACTCGCTCATTTGGCCGGCCAACGGATCGAGCGGCTGCTCTGGCTGCTCCCTACCGGACCTACACTGCACTGTACGCAAAGAGCTGCACACACTTCTTACAGCTGCGGCTATCTGGGACCACAAGGGCATATGAGTCACACTCCCAAGCTGTCGATCTTGTTCGGGCCAGGAATGCGCGGTTTGGCATCATGCCCGCACGCAGACGTGTGCTTCCTACTCCTCCTCACGAAGCATTGTGCAGACGGTCCCAAAAGATGTATTGGGTACATCCGAATGCAACCACAGTTGTAGGCTGATTTCGTGCATGCGCTTGTCGTTTGGCTGTAAGTCGAATCGTACATGACATCGTACTTGGAATCGTGGGTCGTACCCGAGATTGTAAATTCAAATCGTACATGAACTTGTAGTTGTACTTCCGAATCGTATACAAGACCCTAAAAAATAATTCATTTCAGGTGATACAAGGGTTGCCTATATTGATATCATAATGGTAGTGGTAGTGGTAGTGGTAGTGGTAGAGTGGTAGTGGTAGTGGTAGTGGTAGTGGTAGTGGTAACGGTAGTGGTTGTGGCAGTGGTAGTGGTAGTGGTAGTAGTCGTAGTAGAAGTGGTAGTAGTAGTAGTAGTAGTAGTAGTAGTAGTAGTAGTGTTAGTAGTAGTAGTAGTAGTAGTAGTAGTAGTAGTAATAGTAGTAGTAGTAGTAGTATAGTAGTAATACGACGACGACGACGACTGCTACTACTACTACTACTACGACGACGACGACTACTACTCCTGCTTCGACTGCAGCTATGACTGTGAATCCGGCTACTGCTTAGGTGTGGCTTGTCTACTTGATTACTTGGTCTTTGTCACAGCTACGATGCTATTGTTCCATGCGGGCCTCGTTGGTTGCATGGAGCTTGGCCCAAGCATCCCAGTGGCGTCGTTTCTCCGCCTCCACACGCCAGTATGTGAGAGAGGACTTGACATGCTAGTCCAGTGTTTAGACGTTGAGCTCAGAGCTCATCGTTTGACCTTCGGTTTGGAGACCGACAAAGGGTCTTACTGCAAGGATGAACGGATTGGGAAAGATAGTTTGGGCTCAGAGCTCTCAATGTGGCTGCATGTGCGCAGGAACGGCAATACGAATGATATCATCACCGATCCTTGATCAGGGCTGTGATCATCATGCTCGTCTGCTTTCCCCATGAACCCCAAACACTGGTGTGGGACATCCAGCCCAATGCGTTTCAAGGATCATGTTGGTGTAGCGGGACTACCCCCATAGTAACAGTCCATAATCACGCCACTATTCAGGGCCCATCATGACTATACTGTAAACTATCATTCAGCTGTTGTTGAGTTGGGGCAGTATCCAGGGTGTTTCCACGCAAATTTCCATGAATGAAACCCGAGAGGCTCCCGGATTACAATTAATGCGTCGGGCTCCAAAGTCGTCCAATGCTACCTGCCTTCATTACCTAATACCGGCGGCTGAATAGCTACCAGCCTCTACATACCAGGACTATTCCTTAGGGTTCCTTCCTTGCAAGTACTATGGGATTCACCGGAAAACTGTTCTGAATATTCCAGCTCCTACATTCCTGGGGAGCCAACAGTCATTGCCTAGTGCCGAACCCTAAACCCCAAACCCCAACCCAGCTGGCTGCTGGAAAAAGTCCGACATCTTGCAGCTGCAAGAGCCAGAATTACGGGTTCATTAGCGTTTAGGGCCTAGGCTTCTGTGCGGCTTTGAGCAGTGAATTAGGGACGGAGTGGGGCAGGGTCTTGGACGGAGATTGTGTTCTTAGCCTAGCTGGCGTTCATGTAGAATTCCCCAAGCTGCAACTGCCAGTCAACCCTTATCCCCAAACTCCATCTCCTAAGCCGTTTTCATCCTTGCCCCTGGCCCCTGTGCTGTGGCTTTGATCCCACCCAAGGCCTCTTGACCATGCATGCTGGCCCAGGCCACAGCATCCGGCGTGCAATTGGGCCTTCAAGGAGATGTTTGTTTAATGAGGGATTCCAGTCAGGTTTGCTGCAGCAGGTAGACCCGCAGACCCTCAAAACATCTTCAATCAATGTACTTGCTTGTTCCAAGCATGCTAACGTCGAATACCCAAGGCGTAAGCCGTCATTGAGAAAAGCCTCGAACCAGACGACAGGACAAAAACTGTCTGTCTACGGCAGTGACAGGACGAGGCACAAGCAACGCCGCTGGCACTGGCAGCAGCAGCAGGAGTAGTAGTGGTGGTAGCAGTAGCAGTAGCAGTAGCAGTAGCAGTAGCAGTAGCAGTAGCAGTAGCAGTAGCAGTAGCAGTAGCAGTAGCAGTAGCAGTAGCAGTACCAGTGCTGTAGCTGTAGCTGTAGCTGTAGCTGTAGCAGTAGCAGTAGCAGTAGCAGTAGCAGTAGTAGTAGTAGTAGTAGTAGTAGTAGTAGTAGCAGTAGCAGCAGTAGTAGTAGTAGCAGTAGATGTATTAAATGTAGTAAGTGTAGTAAGTGTAGTAAGTGTAGTAGTAGTAGTAGTAGTAGTAGTAGTAGTAGTAGTAGTAGTAAGAAGTAAGTAGTAGTAGTAGTAGTAGTAGTAGTAGTAGTAGTACTATTTGTAGTACTATTTGTAGTACTATTTGTAGTACTATTTGTAGTACTATTTGTAGTACTATTTGTAGTACTATTTGTAGTACTATTTGTAGTACTATTTGTAGTAGTACTAGTACAGTTCGGAGGGAATCTCAAACAATTAATTGAAAAGTAAGTTGTGGTAATCTTGGTGATCTTGCATTCTTGGTCCAAAAGCAAAACTGCCAGCAAACTTGCAATCTTGGTCCATCTTTCGATTTGGTCATCTTGCCCCACTCCACTTGCTCGCCGACGAGTTTACCTTTATAAGACCAAGATTGCAAGAATGCGGGCAATCTTGCTCCCCACCCCCCAAAGTGGGGCAAGCTTGCAAGATTGCTTGGCAAACTTGCTCGAAAATAATTGTTCTTCTAGATTCCCAGCAAGCTGTACTAATACTAGTACCCGTAGGAGGAGGAAGAGGAGGAGGAGGAGTCGCAGGGCGAGGAGCAGCAGTCGCGGTCGCGGTCGTGGTCGTGGTGTTGCCGTTGTTAGTTTCGTAACCATCCGCCACAGTCCTGTGTCTGCGGCCCGAAATTGGGCTGCCACCGCAGTGCCGTGTACATTACCTTTTTCATCGCGACTGGAGTTTCCGCGTGTGGTGGTGCAGGGTTTGGGATGGCGACCAAGCTCCGGTCGCAGAGAGGTGCGGGTTTCGGTCCCTGGGGGTGTTTTTGCGGACCTCGAAAGGGGTTGTGGGAATGTTTGTGGGTATGTAGGGATTTGACTACTAGGTACCCTTTGGCGTAATTACTCTTCCTCCTAGAAGACGCCGATCATGCAGGATCCTGGGTATGGCCCATTCGACCTCGTGACCGTCACCGATGCGCCCCGGCGGGCGCATGCACTGCGCTCCTCTGTGCAGTGGCCTCTGCGTTTGCGCCTACTCCAGCCACCAGAGGAAGAGAGGCCCTGGCAATTTGGCTTCTTCGATGCCGAGAGATACTTGTTGCAGCCTGGTGGGATGAAGAAGTCTTAGCTGTCGGACAGCGATCATTATGTCCAGCATGCGACTAAAGGTCCTATGTGACTCATCTTCGTGAAATTGGCCTTGGTGATCGTCTGGTCATCTACGCTGATGCATTCGATGTTGCAATGCTTGGTTGCCAGCGCAATCTCAGCAAGGAGTGCCAATGAGAGCTTGAAGCATTCAAAAAGTTCTACGCTCGCCCGCATGACTCTAGTATCAGGCCCTGGATGAGCTCCAGCGCCCAATGGTGTTCGGAATCGAGAAGCTTAGATGCAATTTTCACAGCTTGACTCTGGGCATCGAGTTTCCTTGTTGCAGATGTTGCAGCAAAGGTTCGATCTTTATCCTGCCGGCATGGACGGATATCCCCGTCCTGCTGCGGGTAGTCATGCCAGAGTACGTCAGGCCAGCAATGACGTGGCCAAGATTCATCGTGTGACGAGTGGCTGCATGAGGCCAAGATGCTGGACCTGTGCCGCCAGCAAGCTCAGATGCCCTATGTGTGGGAGAGCAGGCTTGGATGGAGAGATCCTTCGTGCTGCATTTGCCCAGTGAAATCTCTCTTGATGCATGAAGCTGCGAGGCCGCCCGACGAGCATGCTCCGTGCCTGGCCATGTCTGAAACGACAGGCGTAGTGAGCAGCGGCTCGGAACCAATAGCAGCTCGGATTATTTCATAACATCAGAGGGTTATATTTAGATCCCGGTCGGGACGGTCCAGTTTTGTCTTTTCAGCTCGCAGCTGGGCGCTAACATGCTGACTCCCAAAGCCCTCGCAGTCCCAGCAGCAAAGGCGTGAGCTAATGGAGTTTTCAGTCAGGGATTATTACCCCAGGAGGCAAGGCCGTGTGATCAGAATGCAGGCGCCGCGCATGTGCCACCATGCGTGGAGGTGATTGAAGTGCTACATTAGGTCGGGCAAGGTCGGATGGTCTCTTTGTTTTTCAGCATACATCTCATGATGATGTTTGTATTTCTTTTTATATTCACATTTGTATTACGTATGTTTCTTTATTTATTTATATGTTTATGTGTCAACATACCTATACCACTCGAGTAGCTGGCTGTGATACTTTTTGGTCGCCGAAATCGTGAAGCCGGGTCGAGTGACACCTGGATGGACGGTAAACGAACAATCCGTGTTTGTGTTGCGTATGCAGGTTGTCATGACATGCTCGGTCAAGATAGCATCTGCAGGGAAACGCAATGAACAGCTTACGGCTTGAAACCCTTTCAGCAATTGCACGCTCAGCACCCGGTCGCCGGAGAGTTTCTGAACGGCGGCTTCTACGGGGGTCGTGCAGCGGCGCTGGAGATTGCCTTGAGGCAACTTGGCGGCCACAAAGAGCACGGACGATGTCGGACGTGTTGTCCTGGACTCAGCATCACACATCCTGCTGAGGCGGCTGCTGCACGTGCAGTCACAGCTACAGGAATTCGCATCCAACGGAGACCCATTCCGCCGGGCGGGAAAAAGCCATCAATACATGTGGAACCAGTATTTGCTGGACCATCCAGAGCAGGCGGGCAGAGGTTCGTTCTTCCGTGGCAAGGAAGTGTAGGATAGTGTAGGTTTCAAAAGTCCGGGGAGTGTGGGTTATTGGTAAGTCGAGGAGAAATGACGCAGGTCGCACTAGACTACGGCGGTGCATTCGTGGTCAACTTGGCTCGGCGTTCCATCGTCCCAAGGCAATTTGGAATCGACGAACGCACGGGACAGCTCAAGTCTGTTTTATTCCAGAGGCCTGTTTGCTTCATCCATGCAAACTCAGCCGGCGTTGCTGACAGTACCTTCAACCTGCTACGGACGGCGTACTACCTGCAAGCTGATACAACTGCCTGGACCGGATATCAGGTCCCTGGAGAGCTCAATGCTCTGCAGCTAGCCGGTCTGCAGGCAGACAGGGCACGTCAGGATCGCATCGTGGTGGACTCCAAGCTGTGCTTTGGTGCCTTCAGACATGCACCCAAGTGGCGCGGAATCTTATCCTACGTTTATATGGTGACGCCGTTCAACGAGATCACTTTTGCCGGCCTGCAATTCTTCGTCGCTCGTCCACTAAAGCTTCAGGAGTCACGCTCTCATGGAGCTGAAATGATGTTCGACGTCATCGCCAAGATGGCTTTTCCGATGCGTACCAGGAAAGAAACTGGACGTGCCAAGCCTCCAAACGGCACGCACACCTGGTTTGAATCGCGAAATCGCTTCGACGCTGCGGTAGGGCCCCTAGCAGCCTTACGCATGAGCTGCTGCGGAACTATGCGGAACTCGCCTATCGTTACAAGCTCCGAGGTCTTCGACATAACAGTGCACAGTGGTGATTGCTTGGCCTGGCGCTGCGAGCAACGCTGCGATCTCACTTATGCAGAGATCGACGAGGACAGCTGTCTCGACTTGCCCCACGCTTCTACTGCGATTTGACCTTTTGCCTAGGACGCCTTGGACCCGTCATGGGACCCATCCTTCTCAGAGTCGCATGATCGGAGGCGTGTGCATTGTTGGGCTTTTGCATGTTGCCCCTGTGATCCTCGCTCCCACGGAGGTCAGACGGAGTCTGGATGGGAGAGACTGGACCAACTCGAGAGATTTTGGTCGGGACGAAGGTGGGATCAAGGGCCACTTTCGACATTATCGAGTCTTGACATCTCGTTTAGCGTTTTCGTACTGGGGAGTGCCTTGCGCTCTGTATGCCTCTCAGATCGTGCTGAACACCTGGCTGCCCAGAAGCTATGCCATCGGCCGACATCCAAGCACAAATCTGGCCCCAGCAAACTGTGGCATGCCAGCTTTGTGTCCTCTCAGGTGCAAGTGCTGAGATTCATGAATTTGGCTTCTACGAGGGCGAACAGCCACCACGGTTCATGCCACCGGCGACGGCGAAAAGCTTTGAATGCGAATACACTCAACTCATTCAGCATGCGCTTTGCGGGCTAGGCTGCTGCCTTGACTGCCTCCTGTTGGCTCAGACGGCGAGTCCTTTAATTCGTTGGGCTCTGCATGAGCATGTCTCACCGCCGCAACTGAAGATCGCAGCAAAGTAATGTGCAAGCACAGCCTGCCAGCATCGCAGAGCTCGGAAGTGTAAGAAGTGATTCATCGACTGCCTGGTACTACAAAAGCCTAGCTAACCCTGTTCCCCATCCCCGAGCCATGCTTGCGAGGGTGTGTCAAGTGGGGCGAAGGTGGCCCAGCATCGGCGCCGCGAAGCAGCAGCACTGAGCTTACATTTGGGCGATGCCGGCGATCGCGCATGGGCCTCGCCTCGCCATGCCAGGTCGGAAGTCCAGGCTGACAGGCCGGTGGGCAGAGCCGGTACATGCGGGTACTGAGCTGCTGAGTGCATGAGAAGCTCTGTCGCGCACACCCATCAAGGCTTTGCTCAAACTCGCGATAACCAGAGTGAGACACTTCTTGGCCGGTTTGTGTAGAAGCGCATCCTGGTTTCTGTGGACGCAGTAGCGATGCTGTGCCACTTCCAGCTGGCTTGAGCCATGGCATAGATGGAGCCTGTGGCGCTGAGCTGCGACTTACCTGTGCTCGTTTGCATCCTGGTATGAAATCTAGACCTGCCATTATCTGTTGTGTCTTTACAGACATTGGCCTCAGGTACTCTCACCTACCTGTCTCTGGAGGACAGCGCGAGAGCGAGCGAGAGAGAGAGAGAGAGAGAGAGATGACGTAGCCATTTTGGCTCAAGCCGTGAGCGGTTCGAGCCCCCAGCCCCGAAACTTACGAGGGAGAGACCTTGCACAGTCGGGGGAGCAACACGGCCGTGCCGAGAGAGCGTGTCCAGAGAGTCCACAGCCATATCACTTGACCTACAAGATCGCTGCTCTTTGCGTGTTCACCAACCTCGCCGCCTAGGGGGAGTACATAACGAAGGCAGCCCATCGAGATCTGTGAGCAGACCGTTCGGGACATCCACACCCCTCTACCTGCGGGGGATCGGCGAGCCTACGTGGGTGAATAGATTCCAACAAGCCGCAGTCCGTCGCGCGCTACGCTGGGCGAAGGGCACCTTCAACTACCTGACTGAGCAAATGGCAGGGACGACAAGATCGCCAATTTCACCTATGAGCAGCGAGCCCCCGCCGCCCGGGGGAAGAAAAAGACAGGCTGTGGGGGAAGATGAAGACGACCGCCCTTTGACCCTCAACTCTCTCCTTGAGGCGCTCAAAGAAAACCGTGAGGAAATCGTTTCTCAGGTTCGTGGGGAAATGGAGGGCCTGTCTACCAGAGTCACACAGGTGGAACAGACGATGGAAGTCCATGTCACTCACACCACACAGCTGATGCAGGCCATGACCGACAGGCATGTTGCGATGGAGAAAAGCGTTCTCTCCGTGGGGGAAAAGTAGGAGTCATTCCTGCAACGGCTAGAGCTCCTTGAAGGCAAGTTCGCAAAGGCCGAGTTCCCTCTTTCGAGTACCCGCACCTCCGACTCAGACGGGGGGACGCAGCGGCCAGCTCTGATCATCGGGGGATGGGATGCGGACCAACACCATGAAGAAACCCTACGCCTTGTTTGCAAACACTTGAAAGACCTCAACGTGGACCTCGACACCTCCCAGGCCTTCGTCCCTGGACTACGTCGCGGCTTTGCTATCGTTCCCCTTCTCAAAAAACAGGGGAAACCGAAGAGGCACAGCGTATTCGAGTACAAGGTCTCCTCCGAGCCGTGCGAGACGCACGTGTCATCACGGGCCAGAGGCGTGAAGGGGGACATCGCTACCTCTTTGCCACGATGAGCCAGAGTCCGGAGCGGAGGAAGAGAGCTCAGATGGCCGGGAAAGTCAAGCGACTCATCATCGAGGAAGGAGGAGAGCCTGGCCGAATCGAGGTAGAGTTCGGCACGGCCAACGTCTGGTACAACACCTCCAAGGTCGCGTCCGGAGTTACGTCAGCTCCGGAGGGAGCCACGGTCGAGAAGGCCGGCTGGGTACACCTAGGCACCCTCGCCCGCCAGATCGGGGGATCGGAGGACTCGCTGACAGCTCGTTGGCAGGACCTCCGTAGAGCGCTATCGTGACTTGCGCAAAAAGCTAAGGTTGCCGGGCAGGCAACACCCGTGCCCACGGCACACGTGCACGTACTCAGCTGGAACGTAGGGGGACTTACCTCTGCTAAAGCACTGGCGGTCATCCTTGCGCTCAGGCGCGGGGGAATTAAATCCTTTGCAGGCTCCCTGGTGATCCTAATACAGGAGATCATTTGTGAACCGGGGAAACATCACTCAGAGCTGGAAGAGTTGCAGATGATCTTCGGCAAAGGTTCTGAGGACTGGCGGGGGAATGCCGTAGTGCATACCTCTAACCTGCACCATACCCGTGGAAAGGTTTTACCGTGTGCCATCTCATGCGTTTTGTCTTCAGATACCCTAAGACTTGGCGCCATTGCAGTTCACATCCAGCACCATGCCACACTCTCCGCAACAGAACAGATCCTGCAGCAGCTGCAGCCCCACATACATACAGTTACCAAGACTGTCGTGGGGATCGATGCCAACGAGACGTTCCGCAGTGCACAACAAAACAAGCAGATTAAAGCCGACACAGCCCGGGGGGAACTCCTCCTGCATTGGTTCGATGAACAGCAACTACACCTTCCACCCCAGTCCCTACATCAGCCAAGCCACTTTCCTTACAACACCAAACTGGAGCCCCGGCGACTTGACTACATCCTTGTCAAGAGGCTCCTTTGTGACCCAGGAGAAGTGCTGCGTCAGCGAGACATTGCCACGTCTGACCATGAGCCCGTTCTCGTGCCATTGACTCAGTTGCAGCCTACAGCGCTCCGGAACAAGGAACCGCCCGCATGGACGAGCCGCCGCCTACTTTCGCCTTCAGTGGTCAAGCAGACCCTTGAAGCAGCATCCCAAAGCGGGGGAGGTGACCCCGTTACACTGCTCCAGACTGTGGCCGTGTCCATCACCAAACCCGGCAAAAGTCGCAAACCCTTTCGGGAAAGTGCCGAGCTTAAACATCTCCGCTGCCAAGCACTTCGGCATGAACCGGGGGAACAAAGACGATCCTTGTGGAAGCAGTGTCGCAAGATGCATCAGACCGAACACAGGCAGTGGCAGAAGAAGGCCATGCAACTGGTGGCGGAGCAGGACTGGGCAACCAAACGAGCCCTAGTTGAACAGAGCCGAAGCCATGAGTGGGAGCTCTCACTCACGGAGGACGAGGAGTGGCGCAACAAACTGCGCCAGCACTTCCAAGGCATCTTCTTCCGACAGCAGCCCTTCGCCGTCTCCGTCAAGATCGATAAGATCCTCGGGCGACTAGCTCGGCTATGCAAAGCCACACCCTGGAAACCATTCCTCATGGCAGAGCTCGAGACCATCCGGATCAAGTGGAAGAACGGGAAGTCGTGCGGCCCGGATATGGTCTCACACGAGGCGCTCAAAGCCATACAGCCCCACCCCGTCTGGGGGAATCGGCTCCTCGACATCTTGAACGACATGTTCTACACGTGCCGGATACACGCGAACATCGAGGCCGGAGCTACATTCTGTTGGCCAAAGTCCCCCAGCCGCTGACATGGGGGGAGACCCGCCCAATAACGCTGTCATCGGTTCTGCTGAAGTCATTCGGACAGCTACTTCTCCAGCGAGCGGGGGATGCAGTCCAAACCCCCGCCAAATTGCAATGGTGCCGTCGGGGGCGCCAAGGTGTAGAACTCATCATGATTCTCAGGCGTCTTGCGAGGCTTGCGCACGATTGGGGCCTGGAATTCTACATCGCAAAACTCGACATACGCAAAGCATTCGACTCCATCTTTCAGGAGAGCCTCGTGGAGCACGTATGCACGAGAGTGGGGGAAAACGCCCACATGCCGTGGGAGGCTAGAGCCTGGGCGTCATTGCTACACGCCCAGAAGATCCTCATCCATGTCGCAGGGGAAAGTATCCCCATAGAACAGAGCAATGGAGTTCGCCAAGGGGCACCTGAAAGCCCAGTGGCATTTGGATCCGTGGTGGCTGAAAACCTCGACGCAGCCATCTCCGCCGCCCGGGGGAACAAGCCCACAACAGGCAACCCCCCGCCTGCAGACGGGGGAAGCTACATGGACGACAATTACATATGGTCTATTAACCGGACCCACTTCCAGAAAATGCTGGACGAGCTCAGCGTCAGACTTCCCCGACGAGGCCTTCACTTGCATCCTGGCAAAACTGACATCATTCAGAACGGGGGCAAGCCAGTCAAGTTCGAAGTGGCTGGGGAAGAGGTCCTCACAAAAGGGCCCAAGCACATATTTCATGTGCTGGGAAGCCCCCTATCTTTCCACGGGGGGACACCCATGCTGGTTGCAGAAATGCAAAGCCGCGCTCGCAAAGCCTTCTGGAGCCACCGTGAAGCCTTTACCTCACAAGCAAGCTTCAAAGACAAGCTCAAGCTCCACCTTTGGGCGTGCCAAACGTGGCCCTGCCACACCAGCCTCCTCCGCGCTGTCAACTCGGTACAGACCGCCCAAATACGGTCGATGCTGGGATTGAGGAGGCAGCCCACAGAGGAGTGGGCGACATGGAACAAGCGGAGCCTCCGCAGGACCAGGCTAGCCTTGTTTCATAGCGGGGGAAAGAGATGGTCCTCCTTTGTGTTGTCTCAGATATGGAGTGCAGTCGGCCACATTATCCGTGGAGATCCCATCGGGGGAGATATCTTCCGCTGGCGCAGCCTCCAGTGGTGGCAAGAGCAGAAGGACCGGGGGAACAGCATTCAGCATGCCCAGCGGTTCAACGCATTTATGGACATAGATCGGCAACTCAGCGACACTGCGGGGAAAGATTGGGCCACTGTAGCGTTGGATAGACAGGCATGGGCAAGCCTCGAGAGCACCTTTGTCGACCGCTCGATGTACCTTGGAGCACTGGCAAACAAACAAGCATCCAAAACTTGGCTCCGAACAACTCCCAAAAACAGGACGAGCAGTTCTTGCAATCTATCCTCGACAAACCAAAGCCAAAACAGTCCGCAGCAGCAAAGACCCGGGCGAAAAGTCGGCAGACACAAGCACAAACATCCACCAGCAACACCCGAGCACTCAATCATAAGCCTACTTTCTCACTGGCACAGGCGTACAAATTCGCAGGCAGGCTGCAGCAACCGGCCCCTGAGGGCGCCAGTGATCTGTTTCAGACAGTGAGAGAAGCCGAGGGGGACTGAAGCCTTCTGTGACCATGTATCCGATGCCGGCAGAATGCAGTCTCCTTGATGTGTTGACGTTCTGCTCAAACATTGAAACAACAACAACACACCTGTTCTACAACTTTATACATATACAGCAATCCTCGGCACAAGCCTCCGATCAAAGAGCACACAAGCAGCCCCGACGAGCCGAACATGCTGACCGTTCGATTACTTTTTGCACTCACCGTGGTGGCCCCCTACAGTCGTGGGACACCCCCCCCCGCCCCCCCTCCCCACCCTTCCCCCGCGCCGCCTCCCTCCAACGGGGCTCACCCGGCAGATGTGATGGCAGAGATGCGGGGAACACTGACCTCCAACCTCGCCCGTGAAAAAAGGCACAGGTTTACACGGATCCTCCTCGAGCTTCAGGACTTGCGCACCCGACTTGCGGATTGGTCGCCGGGGGAGATCAACACGATCCATGCAGCCCTTCTCCGTGCGCTCGAAGAAGTCGAGGAGCTGCGCCGGATGCACGCAGCCCTACACGACGACTGAGCTCGTACCACGACCTCCTTTGAACAGCCGCTGAGTGAAGGGGAAAGCAGAGCCCACGCAGGGGGAAGTACCTCTACCTCTACCTCAGTTCCCCAGATCCTATGTTCTTGCCCACCTTAGGTCAGACCCTCACCCATGAACTGCTACTACGTAACTGCCGTTCCTCCAGAGCCAGGGAAAAACTGATTTTTACACATGGTCCTCCTCTAGGGGTTCAGGAGTGCCGTGCCATTGCTTTAGTTGAACGACCTGGCCCAGGGGAAGAGTCTCACAATCATAACGCACCGTCCTCTTATAATCGGGGGACGCTACCTTCGGGACCCCGTCCAAGCTTCTACGCATGTTGCTCCTTTAGGTGTGCAGTAGAGCTGTGTCCTTGTTTTGCACAACAAGCGGTCCCGAAGGACGTAGACAATGAACTCCCATGAACCAAGGTTGATGATGATGTTTGTGTGACATTCTTATAACTGCTCCACAGCGTTCCGGGGGATCAATAACAACCCACCGTACTGGGGGGAAAAACAACAGCGTGAACACCCCTGGAGTTAAATCCATGCCTCGTACACATGTTACTCCTTTAGGTGGGTAGGATTGCTGTGTCATTGTTTGCAGTATGCTGAAAACTCCGGGGGAAACCATGTCACGCAGGACCATTGTCTGAGAGTCGTGTCTAATGAAAGTTTGCCAGCTCAGTTGTTACTAGGGAATCCGTGTCTGGGCCTCAGTTTCTTGCAGCTTGCGACCTCTCAGCGAAAACCAAATGCCCCGGGGGAAAATCCTCCATAATTTCGAAAGTCGTAATGACTCTCGGGGGAGTGTGCAAATAGATGGAACCCTCCGGATCCCGTTTTTAGTTCAATGAAGGGTGTGACTTCCAGGTCGGGGGATTCCACAATTGCACTTCTGCACGTGTCCTTGAGAGCATACAATCACCTTGCAACGTTATCGTACACTTGATGGCCTTAGCCTTTCAGGTGATTTATGCTCGTACCTCACTCCCTTGCGCCCAACTAATAATGTTGGGTGGGCATGATGCCCGGGGGATTTGACCGTCCCCCATGCCCAGGAGAGAGAGAGAGAGAGAGAGAAAGAGAGAGAGAGAGATACTTCACGTTACTGGGAGTACTATGTTCGTTTCTCACACCCCTATCCTGCATTAAAACAATGCGGGTGGGCCTGTGGCCCGGGGGTCTTGACCGACCCCCATGCCCGGGGGAGAGAGAGAGAGAGAGCTTGCTTAGGCACG